AAGTGTACACACTTAGAAATACCTAATCTTACACGTGACGGAATCTATCTTTGACATAAATGATGAGACGTAAACAAACATGTCATGTAAAATTAAGCGCTCCGAGACTGAAAAGTTTGAAAGTACGTTTGATTGAGCTGATCTTCACGTCTATTATGATTCAATTTTATGTCAAAACTGACGCTCGTATATATGTCAGTCTCAGAACACCTAAATTTACATAATTTTTTTAAGTGTGTAGTTTTGAATTTCTTCATTATTTGATATGTCACATGATAAGTTTTGGTTTCAGACTGAGCATTTTGAGAAGAATTTCATGGTATTTCAGAGATTACACCCAACTCTGAGGTAGATTCCAACGAAATGTTGGAAAAATACTTTTCAAAATTGTTAATGGCATACCAAGAGATTCCCGGTTAATATTCCAAGTGAATTGTAATGAATATTATGGAGAAATTAATGGAAGCAATTCCTTGAGTGTTCTGCACTGTTATGGAACAAATATCTAAGGAATACCGGACATAATTAAAAGATCATTGACGGTAATCCTGAAATTAAAAGTAGTTCTAAAGACATTTTAAAATAATCCGTATGAAATCTTTAAGACATTTGCAAAGATATCTTGAGAATAAGTTTAAAAGAAAAAAAAATAAGTAAATTCAAACATTGATTAACAAAAATCTTCACGATTCTGAGACTTTGATAGAAAACTAGTTTCAAGATCCTGGTCTTGGTAAACCGTTCCGGATTATGGGGCTAGAAATTTCAGAAAAGTGTAACAACAAGAAATATGTGATCTCAAGCATGGAAATATGTGAACGAAAGCCTGGCCTACAGATATATGTATATCGGATACATTTTGTATTATTTTATTAGGTTTGTGCCATCAGGTGAGAAAACCGCTCTCTGAAACTGTCAGCTCATTCTGATATAACAAGAGCTGGCGCTTTTGTTTTAAATTTTATATGGGCTGGTAGCAGGTCACTTTTTAGTGACTTGGTCACTATTTTCAAGTCAGTCACTAAAAAGTTACTTTTTTCACCTAAAAGTCACTAATGTCACTATTTCTTAAAATTTCGTTACTAAAGTCACTTTTTTACGACTTATAATGTCAAGAGTAAATAATTTTCCTTTAAAAAATCACATCAAGTAACAGCTCGATTTGGTAAAAAACAAAATTGTTAAAAAGTTTCATTAAAAATCAGCGTGTAAAGTCCAACAAAGAAGAGTTGCAAACAGACCAGAACTGTCCAATTGGTGCTGATGGAATCACTAATATTTTTTAATTTTTTTTCATCTCCATGATTAAGACATTCAGGTCTTCGATTTTTTTTTTCAGACCGAATTATAAAATTTCTAAGTTTTTCTTTTGCCTTGTGATATCGAAATAGTAATAGCAAATTTTCTGAGGTTTGGATAAAAAAAAATCTTATTCCAACATCCTGGCTTCTTTACTTCGTGATCTTGGAAGTTTTCCAAGTCTTAGATATTTCAAAAAATGGTCTAGAAAAATTTACTAATTTAAATTTTTCAAGGACTGTGAACTTACATTCCCTAAATTCAAAATATGAAAATTATTCCAGGCCGCACAAGTTTCTTAACTTGTTTGTCTTAGAGATTTCGATATCCCGGAATCTTTAATTTTTTTTTGGATTTCCAGATGTTAAGTCCGAGACGCATGCAAAATATTTTACACAGCAAATAAATCTGACTCATATGTGAGTCCCGTTCACTAAAATTTGCATTTGAGTAAATTTTTATTCAAATATGAGCGAATATCACTGATATTTGAATGCCATTTATTCATATATGAGTGACAATTACGCATCTTTGAGTAAAAATTTAGTCATTTCTGTGACCTACGTTTTTGCGAATTTAAGTGAAATAGGAGTCAGATAATTTGCCGTTTGTATTCACGATCTTTCCATTTTGGACAATTTTCCTCGTTCCAGAATAATGAGATTTTTTCTTGGACCGCTATCTGGAAAAGTTGTGTAGCTCCTAGAGCTATACAAATCTGAGGTGTTTCAAAAGTTTCCATATTCGAGGTCTTTAAAATTTATTGTCTAAAAATTGTCAACATTTGCCTTGTTATTATTATTTGATTACCTAATAGGGCATAACCGTAGTAGCACGCTTGTTACAAATCAATTTTGGAAACTTATATACGACTTATTTCAGTCATAAACAAGTTTTTGTAACTAATTGTGATGAAAGTGTGCTACTCGGGAAGGATGATGCAAATGATATTTTCATTTTATTTCCAACATCACTCAAATAGGTCGAGTAAGTAACTCATTTAATGATAAATTCACAAATCAATAATAAAAAAAAATAGTGTACTTTAAGGATAAAGCGTAGAGTGGAAAATAATTTTAAAAAGAGCAAAATTTTCAAATTTTGCGTCACATAAAACGAAAATCAAATTTGCATTAGTCATGATCATGGTGACCTGCAAATCCCAATTTGTAGTTTCCCGGGGCTTTCCCAAAATTTTGGTGATTTTCCCGGTTGATTTGAGCCAGGGCAATTTCTGATAACTAAATTATAACCCATTTAGCTTAGTGATCTCTTCGGCTCAGTCGCATATATGCTTAATTTAAATGTTTATTTAGCAACAGGGCAATACCAAACTATTTTAGAGAAAAATCGTTCGCTTCTAGAAGTCATTATGATTTTTCGATGTTTTAACTATATTGAAAAAAGTTCGCTCAAAACTCTTTACAGGATTTTTATGAAATGTTCTCAAATTTCCTTTAGAATCATTTCCTATCACAGAGTTATTTTCAGAGTTTCTCTTAAGTTACCTTGAGATTCTCTCCGAGAGACCTATTCAATATTTCAGAAAAAAAAATCGAAGAATTCATCCTAACATTCGCTTCGAAAAAACTTACTGAAACTGACTCCTTACATTCTATTTAGAATTAGTCTGAATAATTTATAATTTACATGCAATTTTCCTCAGAATTGTCACACAACTTTGCTCATAACTATCTTGGAGCTCTCCACTAAATTCTTCTGAAAATTCGCTTGGAATTCTCCTCATAATACCCTTGAAATTCTTCTCAAGATGCTCTTGGAATTAAACTCGGAATTCTCATAAAACTCATATCAGAATTCCTTTGGAATTGTTCCCTCAAAATTCGACTCCCTTGGTTTTTATTGTGAGATCCATGAAACTCTCTTCAGAATTCGCGCATTTGAAATGGACCTGGAATCCGCTTCACAATCGTCATGAATTTTCCAAAAGAACTACCTAAATATTCTACTCTGAACGTCTGAAGTCCCAAAACAAATGACTTTGAGTTCTAGTGAAATCTCTCTTAGAGTCCTTAAAAAAGACCTATTGGTATTTTTCTCTGAAAAACATTGTTGTTATCTTTTCAAAATCTCATTAAATTTAGTTCATTAAAGTGACTGTATCCTGAAAATATTTTCCAGTCCAGGAGCCTTGCAATTGTTTGAAAGTCCAGAATCTTATTTTTTCCGGTTTGTCATCGAAATTCACGGACTTTTCCCAATTTTTTCCCGGTTTTCCTGGTTCACTGTTCAATAAATAAATAATAATTTTTCGAGGCAAGTTTATGGGATCGGTAAACCATTATTTTATTTTATTTTATTTTAAAGGAGCATGACAAATGTTCAGGATGGGTTGTGATTGTGAGTTTATACAATTTCTCGAAGTGGCTCGCAGTCAACGAAATATTGTAATCATTTATTTCGAGCAATTAATGTCACTATTAGTCACTTTTTTTTTGGATTTGAAGTCACTATTTGGTCACTATTTTCATTATTTTAGTCACTAAAGTCACTACTATTATATTACATATCCACTACCAGCCCTAATATGGGGATTTAAAGCATTCTTCGAGTCCAAATCATAAAACCAGAATTGTTACGTTACGAATCCCCTGAGCGAATTATAACAATGTGTCTCGTGATTTTACCAGAAAACGACTTCTCAAGTGGTTCCAGCCTGTTAAATAAAACTACGCGTAAAACCAGAGAACTCATCCATGGCGTCATAAAAGCTCCCAAGAAAAAAATATCGAATCATTTTTCCACTTCTTTTGCAGTTATCCTCAATTATTATATGTGTGTGTACATAATACCCGCTTTATCGGTGTCATTTAGGTTGATGAAATGATTACTCTTTTATTTAACTTCATTGTTTCAATTGGTATGCAGCATCCAATTCGATTTTTTTTTTTAACAATACGTTTACTATCATATATCACAACAATATCGTTTAGAGTGTAGTGCAAGACATAGATAATGTCAGGTTCAGAGAACTGATCTATAATCAGCATGGAAGTACCTGGCCAAATTGTTTGTAGATAGAAAAACTGTGTTTTGTCGCCAGAACGACCGAACAATTATCATTTTAATGTAGGTATCATCAACTTTACGTGAATCTTCATCGAAACTCTATTGTGTTGTAGTATCAATTTTTTGAAACGATTATTTCTTGGATGCATTGTCAAAAGATCTCCAACAAACATTGGAAGCAAAAGTATGCGCAAATGTCTCTTTCAGCTGTCAATTAGCTCAAATTGTTTGATGGGTCGTAAGTATTTTGGTAAATAATTGTCGCTGGCTAGCTAGCCCACACAAACTAACACCACCATCAGGAGGATGAAAATGGCCTCTACATGATGGAGGTGTAACCTAGCAGTTTCAACAAATAGACGTTTGAAGTAATTTTTTACAAAAGTACTTACGACATTTGGCAAATTCATCCGATATTCGTCCCATTCCAATTCCATCATGTAGTGATTTTGTGATTTTCAGTTCCGAAGACTTTCCTGTCACGAGCGTGTTATCAGGCACAGTTTTAACATCCTTTCAATTGGAATAGTCTGTTATTTCTTGTTCAAATATCTTGTTAACAACGAACGAACGTCTCGTAGAACTCAATGTTATATCCGTTTTAATTCATTGTTAAATAGTTTGATGATGCAGAAAAAAAAAATCTAAAACCTCTCTCCTCCTCCCACCAGGCGCTCCTCGATAGGAACCTTCATCCGACCGCAATCCGAGACCGGATCCGCTGCCACCAAGCAGAAGCAGGCACCACCAAAGCTAGACTACCGTTCGATGGTTTCGATTGACGACATGCCAACACTGTTCGTTAGCTTCGACAGTAAGTATTTTCCCGCCTCCAATATACTTCTTCTTGGTAATTTAACTCTTCTGTTTCCAAATTCGATCGTTTCTGATAAGTTCTCTTTAACAGCATTTTTTTTTTTATTGATTGGACAGTGTCGTTTCATTTTGTTGTTGCTGGTTTCGGTTGCTAAGAGGTTCGATCTCCAAGGATTAGCCTTGTGTGGATCTGAGATATGTAGGAGTCGATCAAAGCAAAGCGTTTGCATCACTTGTTAGAGGATACGGTTTTGTTTGTTACAATTACTATCTAGATTTCAAAATCCGTTCAGTGTTTCTTGTTTTTTTTTTTCTAAGAGTTCGCTAACTGCACGAAGAAGATTTCACTTATAGGAAAATGAAAAATCTCCTTTTCAACTGAAAATGCTCTTGCACTTGATAAATGTAGCGTTATTTCTCGAAATTCGTCAACTCACGCAACTCATCCTACATTTGCGGCACCGATAAAAGAGTCCTATGAAAATCTTGATCTGTTCACTGAAACTGTCTCATTTCAAAATACAAATCATTCACTTTTTCAGTTTGTAACTATTCGGTTATGTATTTTTTATATATTTTTACTTTTTCATACAAAAAAATCAAACCGCAAATACAAAAATGTACAAACCACACCAATATCAACATACCAATATATATATATACGTACAACATCATTCTAGTGAAGGCGCCATTGTTTCCGCAACTTGAGAAACTTGGTAGGTCCGCAGCAAGCGTGTACGTGCTTGTATGTATGTGTGTGTGTGTGTGTACGTACGGTATCATGAACATACATAAACGAGCTTTTGCGCACACGATCTTCCTACTCATGGCTGGGGTCATCTTTTGATTTTAACTTTTCACTGTGTACATTTTCATTTTACAGTGTGATTAGCTCAATTCATCTACATTACCTTTCTTCTTCTTTCCACCCATCGAACTCACTGAATGTTTATCCATTGTGATCTTGCATGTTTTCATCGTTTTGTATCGCCATAATTTTCCGGAAGAATCGAACTTTCAGATCCTCCATTGAACTTTGAATGTTTATAATTCAGTGTGTTCCGTTTTTTGTAGGAAATGTGTTGTTAATTGTCAGAGGGAATGACACTTTTTTTTTGTTTCTTTATTTAAGAGGTTTTCGGCCTACACGGTAACCGCAAAATACCCAATAATGACTATAAAAGACTCGATATTGACTACAAAGCTCGCTACAAAGTAAGCATTTTCGAGGGAGACTGGGAATGGCAAATCATTTACATTAATTTTGTGCATTCATTTGCCTCTAACTTTTTCCATCAACAGTATTCCGTTAAATGAAATATGAAACTTTTGTAGGTTTTGATATTAACTACAACTTTTGTCGATATATCAAATCTGTACCTCTTATACCTGACGAACTAGAGCGGGAAGAACTTGTTACTACTTTTTAGTGAATGTAATTTACATTCACTGAAAAACATAGGTATGTTCTGTTTGCCCCGGTTCATCATGCATAAGATATACAGATTTGAGTTATTCAAAAAGGTTGTAGCTAATATTAAAACCTACAAAAGCTTCATACATCATTTCATGGAATTCTGTTGATGAAAAAAGTTAGAGGCCAATGAATGTAAATGAATGCAAGAAATGAATGTAAATGATTTGCCATGCCTGACTGGGACTACACATTAAATGAGTAAACAGTAAATTGCGAATATTTCCAAGAAGTAAAGATAAGAGAACTTTGTAGATGTTCAAGGAGCAATTTTTCCGCCTAGAATTTTTTTTTCTGGCAAATGCCACCTTTGCCACCTGAAATGATTTTCTGGGTTTTAAACGATTCCCTGGCTTGAAGGAATTTTAATTCGATTGTGCGGTTCCCGGACGCCACACGCTATGTCGGAAGGCACTTTTTTTGCAACATTCATGTACCTCAGTTTTATCTTCACAGGAAGTTAGTATTGATCCTAACAATCAAATCTGCGAAGATTTTAAAATATTTCATCTTGGGTTTTTTGAGAAAAAGTGTTTTGAAGTTTACTTAGCTGTTAACAAAGGCGTATACGGACTATTGATGATACAAAACTGTTACGGATCGAAACAAATTCAGCTGAAAATGATTCAAAAGGGGATTAAAGTTGTCAAAACACTGAGTTTCAATGATACAGTAAGATTCCCTCTTCGGTACCGTCAGATATCGTAACAATGTAATGATCTCAGAATGTTTAATTAATAAAATAATTAAACAATGGTTAAGTCTCTAAATTTACTATTATTGAGCCATTCCATTTTAAAACGATATAGTGGTTCTCAGATTTTGGTAGGAAAGGGTAGTTTTGATCTTCATCGTAATTTTTTTTTTTTCATTAGGAGGGTGACTATTTCAACGTTAGGGTAGTCCAAAAAAACGTTTATTTTTTTTTCAAAAATGACTTTTTTTTTAATATTATAGCTTGGCCAATTTTAAAGATCAAAATATCAAATGAAAGGTAATTAAAAGTACCGTTAAACGGGGTAACATTGATGGTTTTTTTAAAGTATATTCTTAATATTTTTTACAGCAATGACTGTTTTTCAAATTTTATATTTTTAAAACAAGTACTGAGGATCCAAGAGTTAATTCTTTCGTAATATTTTTTTTCAAACAATTTAGTTCTTTAAGTATGAAACTTTGAATGAAAATATAATCAGGAAACTTCATCAGCAATAAGAATGCAATATTGAATTTGTGATGACTGTATCGGAAATACATTTCATAAGTGATGGTTGAGTGCTTTTTTAAAAAGGCGAAAAACACGAAAATGGTTTATTAATATGTTTGTAAAATATGTAACACATACTATTTAAAAACTATACACCATATCAACGGAAAGACCCTAAGCTACAATATGGAACCAATGTTTCTTATTTGGAAAAAGCACAGCGAGTAAATTTATTCTTTTTATTATACCATCAAAGTTACCCGCATTAGCAAAGATACCCCGTTTTACGGTACTTGTAATGATGCAATATAATGATATTAAAAAAATTGGATTTTATATTTGAAAACATTGATTGTATTCGTTTATTATGGTTTTTATGGTTTGTAGATAGAGGGTGCAATGTGTTTTTATATTTTTCCTTAAAAATTTAGGCTTTTTTACACAACATATCGAAAAATCAGCGATGTGTTGTTTTTCATTAGCTGATGATTAAAATTTCATCCTTCAAAAACTGCACGATTATCAGGCAATGGCGTTTATCAAGCACCTACAATGGTGACCAGCGAATCCAAATTGCGTATGCTGAGTCGCATTTGCGGCAGCCGCCATATTGCGTTATGGGGATCATTCTTGCCGCGTTGTCTTTCCTCATAGCTGATTTGAGGCCGGGCTGGATAGTTTGACGGCCGGTATGTCTCATAAATTTAGCCAATTTTAGCGTATGTAATATAACAAAAGTATAGTTTAAAGTCATGTAAAATATAAAGTTATAAAGATAACTGTTACATACTGACCTTATTAACACTCAGATTAAGATCTTTCTTAAAGCTGAGTAAATCTTCGTGAGAAATCTTAGGTTTTTTCCTGACTGTTTCAAATTTAAACGCATTGGTCTTCCTGCGACGTTTGAAAAACTAACCTAGACTAGTTTTTTGCCTGCTAATTATCTAATGCTTTTGGCAACAAAGTGATGCTTACTTTCATCTGCCAATTTGGAGAGATTCTGAAGTCTGAATTCTGAAACCTGCGTCCGACATAATTTGAAATTTTTTATTCTGTGGTGTTTTTTTCTTACAAACATCTACACACCCGCACAACTTTGACTGTCGAGTTTGATCTTCTGGATATTTATGAAGCTCAATTTTCATAAACTGCTCCCTTTTTTATACCGGTAAAGGGCAATGTAACATGCGTGAGCCGTACTCACGATTTTTTTTAGGTGGAAAACTCTCATTTATATTATATATTATACCTGTTTTCTAAGACATAGAGTGGTAGTTGTTCCACCAACGACCCGATGAGACAGCTTATATTATACATTCAAATTCAAATCCCTGTTCATATGTTTGTCCTTGATTTCGTTGAACTTAGATGAAATTCTTCTAACTTTCATGATGTTCTTTGATGTTCTTGTTTTTTTTTTCTTAAAATTCTCAGACGTTTTTTTAAAATTCATAGTACTTTCCTAATGTTATTAAATTTTCCTGTGGTTCACAGACCATCCTAAAGGTTGCAAAAATTTCCTCACGTTTAAAGAACTGTTTGCAGAACATCATTGAAATTCATATAATGTCGCTATAGTTCACAGAACACTCTTGAAGTTCGTAGAACTTACCAGGAGGGCATTGAACTCCCCTGAAGCTCACAAAATGTCCCTGAAGTTGGCAGATCTGGAGAGCGAAGCACACCTTTAAAGTTTGAAGAATTTTCCTGAAGTCTTTCCTGAAGTTCAATGAACTTCTCTGAAAGTTGTTGAATTTCTCTGTTTCTTTGGAGGAACTTATTTATAGTTTGCCGAACTTTCCTAAAATTCACTACAGTTCCCTATAGTTCGCAGATTTTCCTAGAAAGTCGCTGAATCTTCCTAATTGTTTTCTTATTCAAAATATGGGAATTGCAATGAAGCTCTAGCAATTCTGTAGTAATTCAAGGTTAGGACTACCTAAACTCACTGGGCAAGAGTAACTAACCTCATGTGAGTTTCATTCCTGTATTATCGGTTAGACGATTTTCAAACCAATTCGTCATGGTTGCCAGAATTTATTTTCGATCTCGTCATCGAGTCAAACATATCTATTTTTTTAAATCCAAGCAAATTGTCCACCCCTCAGGATGTTCCACCTTCCAGGACCTTCACCACCTGCTGAGTACGGGACACAAATTTTTCGGATACCTACAATCTCCTTTATTAAACTCCATGGAGTAAACATCTTTCAACCATCGTCGGCTAAAGTGGCTTGATTTTTTTTACAGAGTCGCTTTTCGAAGCACAACAAGCGACTCTCTATTTTCTTCATGAAGTTTTTTTTTTAATTTTTCCAGATTTGCACGATACCTCAAATAAAAACAAAAACATTCGAAACAGGACGAAAATCAATGCCTACTATGATTACGTGGCTGCCTTAGACTGTCCTGCTCGTTTCTTTCTCTTTTACTCTTATGAGGGAAGAGAAATTAATTAAGAAGTTGTTCTAGCAACAATTATTAATTGATTTTGGTCAAAGTCGACATAATCAATACGGATCTCACTTGAGAGTCAAAGAGAACTCTTTAATGCCATTTAGATTAATTCAATCATCATTTGAATCTTGTTTAACTGCATTTGTTCAATTCGTAATAGTTTTGTATCGTCAATAGTCCATATACGCCTTCATAATCGACTTTGTAAACTTCAAAACACTTTTTCTCAAAAAACCCAAGATGAAATATTTTAAAACCATCACAGATTTGATTGTTAGGATCAATACTAACATCCTGTCAAGGAAAATCTGAGGTACATGAATGTTGTAAAAAAAAGTGCCTTCAGACATAGCGTGCGGCATAACTCCAATGGCCCGTGATCCTCAATTCTTGTTATTGCTGCTCGTTCTTCCAACAAGCAGAATTGGGGTATTCGGGGTAATTTAACTACAACTCTTTAACTGAATTGGACCTTCAATATCGGGCATTGACTGTGTTGATTGTTGCAAACCCAACCCTTATGAAACGAATGTAAGTACCGAACAGTGTTAGCCCCTCGTACTGTCTACTATCACCAGCTTTCGATGTTCAATGTATGCTCACCGTTATCCTGTATTTGATGTCACCATCATTTGAGCACCGCCGTCTACCGACCCAGGACCCAACACGCCGAACTGTACTAATGCCTCACCCTGTTCTCACCCACAGAGCTTATCCCACGACCGGCCCGTGCCTGTCCCGATCCACCGATGTACCTGCGGTTGCGCATGGGTCGCAAGATCGGCAAGAACACACCGCTACCGACTACGGTCATGTCCTACGGCAAGAACAAACTACGGCCGGAATATTGGTTCAGTATTCCCAAGAACAAGTAAGCCCGCGCTCTGCGTTTTGCCAATTGGTCTTGGTTAACGATCGTTGAATTTCCATTTCCGCTAGGGTTGACGAGCTGTATCGATTCCTGACCGCTTGGGTACAGCATCTGTATGGTGAGCTAGACGAAAAAGCCATCAAGGAGCGTGGCTACGAGCTAATCCAAAACGACACCGATTGGGCTACCAAGGGCGGCAGTCCGACCAAGGTGAGTATTGTTCTGAACACCCGAATACCTGTTAACGAAAATCTAACGAGCAATTGCTTGCGCAACAGGATGGACGTTCTGCCAGCGAAGGCGAAATCACCGAGTACACCCGAGAATCATGGGAGGTGAGTGCTAAGTTTCCTTTCACTCTATATTTCAGTAGGATGAAAATCAAAATTCAACGCGTCCATTGACCTAAACCCGAATCCCTCGATGATTACTAACGTCAACTTTTCTATCTCTTACGTGATTAACATTACCTCACACGGTTAACTGAACCTGCTGAGTGCAGATGCTGAAGGCACCGTTTGTCAAGACCTACAATATAATCAAAAGCCAAACCGGATCCAACGATTTGGATGGTTGTGAGGTTAGAATTCCCACTTTTACGAAATAGAAGATCGCGCGGACTCGCCCGTGCTCAGAGTCCGTCGGTTCTTTTTCCACTATCTCAATCTCTATCCAATCACACTTGTCAACACCACCAGTACCTTTCTTTTGTAATAGTAAGCCAAGTAGTCCAATCACCTCTCCCGTAATACTGCGTTCTGTTTTCTGGCTATGAGGAATGATTTTTGTCTTTGTTTCTCGGTTTCGACAAAACACTATCCCTGTACTGTACACCGTTCGTTCTTTGTTTGGTAGTGAATCGTCTCGTTGCCTCTATAAGTATGATAGACTCTCACACATCCCACACACGTAATAAGCCTGTAACAATACACAGTTCGTACAGCAGACCGTTCACTGAATGATGTTTCAAACCGATGAATGTTCTATCATAGAGACTTGCTCATGTCCTTTGTCCGGTATTTCCGATCATTTGCATTGTAATATACGATCGATCGCTATAGCCCAAACTGCACTTTCAGTTGGATTTTCCTTTTCCTTTTTTTTTTTCGTTTTCGGTAGTTTGTTTACCATTGGCTGAACTCCTACTTTTGTTTTCGAATGAGTTCGTTCACTTACCCCAAACAAAATTTGCTTCACCTGATTATTTCCAATTAGAAAAACTCACCTCACTGTAGAACTTTAGGTTAGACGGTAGGCAAGAATCTAAAATGTAACTGCTTCTTTCCATATGTTTTTAGTCGTTTATATGTTTCAAAATTCTTACTGCTTTTGTTTGATCACAGTCTGGCAATGCATTCCGTTTTTTAGTATTCAGTTTCGCTTTCTTTAAAAACGCACCCTCTTTCAAATCTGACATTTGAATTCGGATTGTACAGTGCATAAACAATACAAGAGTAAACTAAATGGCTGCTGTTTGTTAGAGTTGACCGTTAGAGAATGGTTCATTGATGGGTGATGTTTTATGTGACCACGATGTAAAATTAGCACTTGCAGGTAATTAGGCAGCTGTATGTTGTTGACGTCAATGCTGAAAGCACTATTTCAGGAAACTATTATCTTGCGTGAAATTCCGGTAGACAGGATGATTGAGTGTTCTCAGCGGCGTTCGTATCAGTCGGTTCATTAGTGGGTCAAACTCAGTAGACTTGGCTACGATTAATCCATTTATTGCGCAATCATTATCTGCTGGGGTTCTGTTGGTATACTATATTTTTGGCAAATTTATGTCTGGTCGAAATGAATATTTTTCGCGCATTATGTTTGTTTGTTTGGATTTTCATTATCACTAATTTGAAACATAAACATTTACCTATCGGTATCAATTGCTTTCGACGCGTGTGAAGGTTTGGAATCGGTGTTATACAAACAAAAAAGATAGCGTTTGTGCTAATATCCCCTGTATGGTGCATGGTCAATATTTTAGTCCACCATAATTCCAGTAATCTCTATACCAAAATACCTGTTAAACAGCGATAAGTTATGGTATTGTTTATTATTGAGATAGGGTAGCGAACTACTTCGGCCTAATCGCCCATTTTGGGCCTATCGAGCAGAAAACTTCAAATAAATCCATGATTTCAGAGTTACCAAGTCAATTATGCGTTTGGTACGATACTTTAATTAATAAGCTACAGAACGAAGTCAATGAGAATGCGTGGTATGAAGGCTTGCACCCATTATTCCCAAAAACAAAAGAAGCGCTCCGACCGAATCAATTTTTGTCTTCATCCGATAGGCCGAAGTGAATTCATTGGCGTTTCAATGGCGTTTCATTGCGTTAGGCCGAGTTTAGAATCCGTAGGCCGAGTTTGGCGTCAAAAAGCAGTGTTAGACTTTTGACAATATCTCAACGATTGGATTCTTTTTATCAAATATTACGGTACATACGGAAAGGTAAATAAATTTGGAAGCCATAAGTAATAATAACATTCCGTTTGGTGCTAAACTGCGCTAGATTAAGAAAGATTAAGTGCGGGTTTTGCTTAATAAGCCGGAAATGAAAAAAAAACCTGATTTAATGGAATGTAATTGTTTTTTTCTCAATCCATTACGATTACCGGGTTGTTATTTAGTTGAAGAATTTCAAATAACAGACTAAAGTGGTAATTTGTATACGATAGATGAGGATATGAAAGTAAAGAATTGATAGTTCCGTTTAGAGTACGGCAGTGTGAAAATTGCATATAGAGAGTAGAAAGCGAGCTAGGACAACTTTAGGAAGGTACAAATCGGTTGTATCATCTCTCTTTACCGAATTCCCCCTTTGGAGAGGGATGTGGGGTATCGCGGTTGTCTCGAGGTTAGTGGAGATTTACAATTTTTTGGATGGGAAAAGGGAAGAAGGAGGTTTGAAATGTGGTTTACGAAACAACTATTTAATTAATCCTAAAGCATGAAATTATTTCTATTCATCTTGATAACAAACATTGAAAAAAAAAACCCACACGTACAAAATACAAACTAAACACAAGGTTAATCAAACTTACAATCTAAGGTTAATATCCTTAAAGTAAACATATATGAGTTTCATAAACTCCAGATCGCGTCTAGCCAAAATATCCCGAACTGGAACATTAGGTTGTCTACCTCGAGCCCGAAGGGAATCATAAAAATGTGATCTGACTCCACGATACTCCGCACAAGACCAAAGGATGTGATCAGCGTCCTGGTAACCTTGTCCACATTTACAGAGATTGCTGTCTCCCAACCCCACACGGAACAAGTGAGCGTTTAGACAATAGTGATTGGACATGAGACGAGACATCACGCGTATGAAGTCTCGACTCAAGTCCAACCCTTTGAACCATGCAAACTTCGACACCTTAGGGATAATTGAATGTAGCCATCGTTCCAAGCTCCCTTCACTCCATTGATGTTGCCAGCTAACGAGTGACTGCTGACGATAAATAGAGAAAAATTCACTATAGGCGATCTGTCGATCCACGCGAAGGTGATGATGAAAGAGCGCACGTATAAAGCACTAAGCAGTTCTCGTATTTTCAAGAGAAAATACGAGAAGTGCTCTACCGGCCTAATGGAACGGATAGCCTCGACAGAACTGAGACTATCCGTAAAAATAAAGTAATGGTGTGGAAGAAGTGAAGCAATAGTTTCCAAAGTGTAGTGAATTGCTGCCAGTTCAGCCACATACACCGAACAAGGAGCTTCAAGTTTTCGAGAGGCGCTATGAAATTCATTAAATACACCAAAACCAGTGGACTCCTCTATTAGAGATCCATCTGTGAAAAACGTTCTTGCAGAATCAACATGGCCAAACTTTGCAGCGTATAATGACGGAGCAATCATAGGACGATGATGCTCTGGAATTCCGCGGATTTCCTGCGTCACAGATAAATCAAAATTCACTGAATTGCCGAAATCGGAGAAGATTACACGATTGGGAATATTTCTTGAAGGGCTGACATCCTGTGTTAAATATAGGTAGTACAAAGTCATAAAACATGTTTGAGGTTTTGGCTCCAGAAGCTTCTCAAAATTTTCGATCACCAGTGGGTTCATTACTTCGCAACGGGTGAGGAGCCTAAGAGATAACTCTGAAAAACGGACGGATAGTGGCAACATGCCCGCCAGCACTTCGAGACTCATAGTATGAGTCGAGTGCATGCATCCTAACGCGATGCGAAGACAACGATACTGGATCCGTTCCAGCTTGATGATGTGCGTTTTAGCTGCCGACTGGAAGCAAAAACTACCGTACTCTAAAACCGATAAAATCGTTGTCCGGTACAACGTCAAAAGATCTTGTGGATGGGCTCCCCACCACGTTCCGGTAATTGATCGGAGGAAATTGATCCTTAGTTGGCATTTTCGTCTCAGATACTCAATGTGGGATCTCCAGGTGCATTTGGAATCGAACCAGACCCCGAGATATTTAAAAGACATGGAATGAGTGATCGGTTTACCCAAAAGTTGAAGCTTCGGTTGTGCTGGGCTATGCTTCCTAGAAAAAACGACCAACTCAGTTTTCTCCGTGGAAAATTCGATACCTAGCTGAATAGCCCAAGTAGACAAATTGTCCAAGGTATCCTGTAAGGGTCCTTGCAGGTCAACCTCTTTTGGCCCTGTGATAGACACTACGCCGTCATCTGCAAGTTGTCTCAATGTGTAATTGTCACTAAGACAGACATCAATTTCTCTAACGTAGAATTTGTACAAAAGGGGGCTTAAACATGAGCCTTGGGGGAGACCCATGTAGCTAAATCGAAAAGCTGTAGAGTTTCCATGAGAAAAGCTCATATGTTTTTCTGACAGCAAATTGTACAAAAAAATATTCATTAATGGAGACAATCCACAAGCGTGGAGTTTCTCTGAAAGAACATCAACGGATACTGAATCAAAAGCCCCCTTGATATCCAAGAACACAGAAGCCATTTGCTGTTTCTTAGCAAAGCCAACTGAATTCCCGAGGAAAGCAACGCGAGACAGTCGTTCGTTCCCTTACCCCTACGGAAACCAAATTGAGTATCTGAAAGAAGGTGGTTCGTCTCAACCCATTTGTCGAGGCGAAAAAGGATCATTTTCTCCAACAATTTTCGAATGCACGACAGCATCGCGATGGGCCGATACGAATTGTGATCCGACGCGAGTTTATCAGGCTTTTTAATGGCAATAACCCTCACTCGTCTCCAATCGTCGGGAACAATATTGAGCTCCAAGAGCTGATTGTACAAGTTCAACATGCGCCTCTTAGCGACGTCTGGGAGGTTTTTCAGCAAGTTGAACTTGATTCTATCAGATCCCGGGGCAGAATTGCCACACGAAAGGAGAGCGAGTGAAAGTTCGACCATTGAAAAAGGCTGACTGATTTCGTCTACCGAATTCGCGGTTTCGCGAGGAATCACTTTTCGCGCGAATTTAAGAATCCATTGATCCGAGCATTCCTCGCTTTCGTTGTTAGTAGACCGGTTACGCATTCTTCGCGCCGTACTCCAAAGCGTATTCATAGACGTTTCACGCGTCAATCCGTCTACAAACTGCCGCCAGTAACCCCGTTTTTTG